GTCCTTTGTTTTCTTTTTATTCTTTCTTTTGGTCTTCTTTTAAATTAACTGAAGTCCCCCTCAACCACATGACCCCCACTACTTTAAAAGTTACTCATTTTCTTTTACTGTTATCATGAATGAATTTTTTTTTTTTAAGATTTTATCCATTCACTTGACAGAGATTACAAGTAGGCAGAGAGGCAGGCAGAGAGAGAGGAAGGGAAGCAGGCTCCCTGCTGAGCAGAAAGCCCGATTCGGGGCTCGATCCCATGACCCTGAGATCATGACCTGTGCCGAAAGCAGAGGCTTTAACCCACTGAGCCACCCAGGCGCCCCTTGAATGAAATTTTTTTACATGGGTATCTTTGCCAACTTCCTGAATGCTTTTTTAAGGGTCTAAGAACATTTGAACTCCAATTAAGTCTTCATCTTGTACCCTTTTTGTCCTATTTTTTAGTTCATCTTGCTCTTAATATCACAAATAAGGCATTAATTGTATTCTTTTAATCAATGTTAGTTCAGAGTGACCCACATTTTTTTGGTCACCGCCCTTCCTTGAACCTCAGACATTTCATCAGATGGTTGTCTGACATTGTTTTGTTTTTTTCTTTTTTTGAGATAGAGAGTACAGGGAGCAGGGAGGGGCAGAGGGAGAGACAGAATCTCAAGCAGAATCTGTGACGAGCGCACAGCCCAACATAGAGCTCGATTCCATGATCCTGAGATTGTCAACCAAGCGACTGGGTCATCCAGGTGCCCCTGAACTTTTCATGTTATAAACTTCCTTTAGTGAGAGGCTGTTGGTGACAAACATGCTCACTCTGTCAGAAATTTCATCCTCTTTCCCCAAATATAGCTTTGCTGGGTATTAATTCTTGGTTAGTAGTTTTTGTTTTTTCTTTACCTACTGATAATACTACCAGTCTTTTTTGCTTTCCTTGCTGCTGGGAAGTCAGTCAGTCCTACAGCTTCTCTGATGTGGATAGTATGACTGTTCTCACTGACTGCTTGTACAAATCTCTCTGATATGCTGCAGTTTTACATATATATATAAAAAATATATAAATTATATATATAAAAAATATATAAATTATATATATACACACACACACATACATACATATATACACAGACACACAGAAGTATAGATTTATTATACGTAATTCACCTGGGATTTGCAAAGCTTTCTGAAGGTTGGTATCTTTTACTGGTTCTAGAAAACCTGTCTTTATCTTTTCAAATATTGCCAATTTCCAATTCTTTCCTTCTAAAACTCCAAGACACATGTTAAACTTTCTCAGTCTCTCTGCATCTCTTTCCTAATTTTTACATTTCTACCTACTTATCTTTGTGTGTTATCTACTGGGTAATTATTTGGCTCTACTTTCCAGTTTACTCTCTCTCCCACTGGTTATTTGACATGGGATTTATTTTTATATATGGAACTTTTTCTTTAGTTTTGTTAAATACATACTAAATGTATTCATCTTGGGGTGCCTGGGTGGCTCAATCAGTTAAGCATCTGCCTTCAGCTCAGGTCATGACCCCAGGGTCCTGGGATAGAGCCCAGCACTGGGCTCCCTGTTCAGCAGGGAGCCTGCTTCTCCTTCTGCCCCTACCCGCACTCATGCTCTAATAAAGAAATAAAATCTTTCTTAAAAAGTATTCATCTTATATCTGAAATTCCACCATCCAAAGGCTTTGCAAATCTGACTCTATTGTTTTCCTCTGGTTTTCCTTCAGAATACCCTATTTTGAAGCATCTTGTGGGTTTGTGATTTAGGACTATGAGCTCACATTCCTTTGGAGCTTTATTTGTAAGGAGTGTTTGAGGAATAAATTAAGTTGTGTTCTTATAGCATGGATATGCAGTTGCTTTTAGCCATGAACTTAGGGGCATAACCAACTTAGCACCACTTTAAGAACTCGGTTTGAGTTTTTAAACCATATGTAGCATGAGAATTCAAATTGCTTTGGACCTCTGAGGATGCTTTTCTTTCTTGTCAGTTCGGTGACGATTTAACAACATTAAAAAAACGTTTTATCCAGCATTTTTGGTTATTATCAGGTGAGTTGTTTAGAGTATCTAGTCCTTCACAGATTGGAAATGTAGTCCTAAAGTCTAATTCATGACATTACTGAAAGGCGACAGTGACAAAGCAGAGGCAGGAAATCTAGACTGCACTTCTATTTTGTCAAGCAACGTGAAAGTGGTGAGGAGTAGAAAGCTAGAATGGCTGAGGTTTCCTTTGGCAATGGGCAGGTGACTTTATCAAGAAACTTGTCAGCTGCTACTAACAGAGACCAGGATGGAAGTTACTTCTTTTCCAGTAACAGAAATCCAGAGAAGGCAGTCAAGAGCCAGCTTATAGTGACTCTACAATGTCACCAGGAATATTATGCATCCATCTTTGCCACTATAAAGATACCCTATGGCCCAAGTAGGCTGCAATCATATCTACACTTTTGTCAGAAAGTAGAAGGGGGTTAAGTCCAAAAAGGGCACATGCCAGTTGTCTGTCAGTCTGAAGAAGCTTGCCCAGCCAACCTCTGCCCACCTTCCGTCTGACGATCCATAGCTCCAGGGAGGCTAGAAGTTTAATCTTTTAGCTGATCCCGTTGCTGTTGGGAGAACTAGAGAATCCTGGATCCACTATAGGCAAGTAGTAGTCTCTGCCACAGAACCTAAACATTTTCACTGTCTGAGACTCCTCATCAAGGGAGAGACTGAAATCAAGATGATAATTTACCAGAAAAAAATTCCTAAGGAATGTGGGAGAGAATAAGGTCAAAAGCACAGGCAGACACATCTTCAATGGAGACTGAACGGAACAAAAGGAGAAGACAGACCACCGTGCAGGTATGGGGTGGTAAGACTGGAAGCCACGGGGATTCCTCGTAGCATGCAAGTGACAAGGTCCTGTGGAGGTCACTGAGTTGTGGTGGGAGTGGGTTGGCGTGCAGGAGGCAGAAAGCCTGGACCATTTGCTGTATGAATATAAACAGTATCAAAAATGCATGTTAAAAGCCCCATGTCAAAAAGGTTATATTTATGAGTAACAACCGGTTTCCATAAGCAGGACAAAATCACTCCATAGGAACAGGTTTCTAAAGTAGGCAACACAGTCACAACACATTTGGCCTGTCACACTTGAAAAACACTTTGTCAAAATCTGCCTCGTTACATAAGAAAACTGAATCTAAAGTTGGAGGTAACAGATGACCAAAAAAATTTAGGCACCAGTGACAGAGGACAGCCTTCTTAACCTTTCTTTCGTAACTCTCCTAAAGTGCCTTTCCTTTGCAGTAGAATTTTTCTGAAGTACTTGTGAGCCTCCCACCCTGGAAGCTGTGTGGCAGATCCCTGCCAAAGCAATGCTCTGTAACCTTGGGGACTGAGGTATAAATTTAGGCTTGCAATGAGATAGACGTATACAGCTCACCTACATCCTTTCCTTTCCCTAGAAATAAGGAAAATAAGGGAGAATCAATTGTATTTAATTATATAGTCTTACTCCACTTCACTTCTCCCAATTATCACCCCAACCTTCCAGAACCATTTTCTGACCAATCACTTAAGAAAGGGCTACCTAGCATTTACTTAACCCCCTTTCCCATAATCCTTTCCTCTGAACACTGGAAGACAGACTCTAGGTATCCTTCTTGTTTGCTCTCCCTGAGCACTGTGTGTTTCTGCTGGGGAATTAGATGAACTCAGTGCTTAAGCATCAAACTGTATCACCTCTGTCACATCACAAATGCTCCACACGAAATAGAAAATAAGTGGTAAGTTATTATGGCAAGGTCTCCCAAAATTAACTAACTTACAGAAATCTGCAGGTCAGGTTTTACATCAAATGCTGATTTTAAGAGAGAGCGGTTCCTATTTAAATCTAGTTCAGTCAGCATGACCGAACGGCTGCCTGGGACCTGGGTGCCCTGTGGCCAGCCAGGGCTCACCAGCCACGTCCAGAGGCACCCGAGTGAGCGCTGAGCTCACACTCAGCCCAGCAGGAAGGCAAGATGATGAGGCAGTTTTCACACTTATACAGATAAAACTGGCATAATGAATACTGAGAACTATATCCTGCATGGGCTCCTGTTTTCCATCATGGTGGACACAGCCCCCCAATCTGCTCAAGCACTGTTGTCTCGAGAGCTGTTGCGCACTGCAGTTCTCAAGCAAAGGCAGTCTTCAAGCTTTCCACCTTTATTCTTCCCACAGCATTTCATTTTAATGTCAGCTAACAACAGAAAATCAAAGAAGGCAGCTCTCCCACAAAACCCACGGAACTAGCATGCAAGTGACAGAACTGACCACACGTGTATCAACCTGAAATTAAAAGTTCACGAAAAATTCTTCAAAGAAAAATGTTACGCAGAGTACATTTTTAAAAGCAGCGCTGGCTCTCATGTGTGTAGAAAAACAAATATTTACTAACACAGACACTTCCGACAGGTAAAGTGGGTCATAGCTGTTTGTTACACTTTGAACTACAGCAAAAATAAATTTTGCAATATAACCTGAAGGAACTCCAGGCCCTCTCTAATTCATATTTTTAAGATTCAACCCCACATTAAATACTACACCATTCAACATAAACATTAGGGGATATTTCCCCAATTTTCCTGTTAATGTCAATTTGAGATGAAGTGTTAAGTGCTAAGAGGATTCTAGTTCTGAAAATACCTTGATGCTTTCTACTAATTGAGATACAGCTTATGTGTTTATTATCTGCTTACAAAAAAGAATTTAAGGTGGCCTTTTACCGTATCTCAACAGTCTGAGACAAAAACTATTCTGACTAGGAAAAAACACTTAACCAAAAATGGCAATAAACTGGAATCTTTCAGTTACTACTTAGAAAAGACAATGTTTTATAAAAATCACTGCCTATTTCTCTTAAATAGGTCCAATACTAAGATTTTTCCTATCAATCATTCCTCTAATAATTCTGTTGCCATCCTTACAAAATAAAAATAAATGATAATGTAACTACAAGCCTTAGTTTGCAATTTTTTCACTGTAAACTTGGTCACATTATTTAAAAAACACTCCACATTCCCTCTTATGTAGTTATATGTGGACAAATGGTGAACAGACAGTTTTATAGCTTAAAATATAAGTGAGGAAAACATAGACATCTGCCATACCAATAGCTGGTTTTTATTTTTTTTTTTTAAGGAAAGGTTATTAATTTAAAAAGTGAGTTCTAAGAAACATAATAGGACTCCCAGCAATGATGATTTCTGAGATCTATGAGATGTGAAACATAATTATAAAAAGGCTAAAAGCCAAAAAGCATTTCTACTTTTTCTTTTTTAAAAAAATCCAGAGGATTTGTCACATCAAGGAAGTCTGGCACATTACCGAGGCCATAGTCTTAGTCATCCTCAGAATCACTATCCCTTCTTGTGGGGATGGAGCACCGCACTGAGGATAGCAAAGCGTCTTCAATTGGTTTCTTAGGGTTTTCCTCCAAGTCTGTCTTGATTGCTCCAGACTCTGACAGTTTCCACTCCAACTCTATGTGATAAAGAAAAGCCAAATTACCTAAGGCAGTCAGCGTGGGACCCCTACCCTCAAGCCCATTAATTAAGCCAGTTTTTTTAAAAATAGAAACTATGCAGTAACATTTGATGATAATTTTAGTGCTGTAATTATAAAGTATGTAGAAGGAAAGCAAAAAATCAGAACTTTAAGAAGGAAAACAAAATACACTTTTTCAGAAGAGGAGAGGAAATAAGTCAAGCAGAGAGAGTCAATTATCATATGGTTTCACTTATTTGTGGAGCATAACAAATAGCATGGAGGACAAGGGGAGTTAGGAGAAGGGAGTTGAGGGAAATTGGAAGGGGAGGTGAACCATGAGAGACTATGGACTCTGAAAAACAATCTGAGGGTTTTGAAGGGGCGGGGGGGGGGGGTTGGGGGAACCAGGTGGTGGGTATTGGAGAGGGCACGGATTGCATGGAGCACTGGGTGTGGTGCAAAAACAATGAATATTATTACGCTGAAAATAAATTTAAAAAATTAAAAAAAAAAGAGATCAAATGAGATACTATATATATATTTGAATTATGGCAACTAAAATAAAAAACAAAGACCAAACCTATCTTCTAATGACTACAGTTTCTTGACTTGCAAACAATTTCCCAGGAAAGATCAGGATGAAACATTTAAAGGAAATACTTTTCACATCCCTGCTGGCAATCCAACCATTAAATCTAATTTTAGTTAACACAAGGAAATTCTTGGGCCTCATGTCCAGCATCTCAGTCTATTAGAGTCAAAGGATAAATGTATGATGACTTACTAGAACTTATGCATTTGCACCAAGTAATACAGTACCAAGAAAATAAAGAACCAGTAACTAAAGCCTTGGTTCCTGTATGTCACTCTCTTATAATCAATGAACTCCACATGGGTGTGAGACCTTGTGAAGTGAAATTAAGGGGTGTCTTTTCGACTGCAGAAAAGACTCCAGGCAGAACTAAGGACTACATGAGACACTCTACAGTGAATAGCCTGGTTTAAGTGATACTCTGCTAATTAGGCACCTCCATTAAGATGTGACAACCAATTTTATTTAAGTCATATTAATTTAAAGTGCTCCATGGAGACCAATAACACCAGTATTTAAAGTTCTCAGTACCTTGGTTGAATGTTATGAAAATTCAACAAATTTCTTAAAAAAAAAAAAAAAAAGAAAGAAAGAAAGAAAGAAAGAAAAAAACCTTACTTCTGATTCTTGACTCAAGAATATATTTAGATCCACCATTCACATGTATCGGCTTACGTATTAATGTTATTGTCCACTTACACACAGTAATCATTATTTTATAAGTTCACTAATCCTCAGATAAGACTTTCTAGAGATAAAGACAGGACTTCCTATCCTATCTTTCCCCTCATGGTACATTCAAAAGAGCAGAGTAAGATGCAAACATATACTTCATTTGAAATGCAGTATTCCTTTGAACACTGGAATAATGCATAAATGTTATAACTTGTGTTTCTCTATATGCACAGATGTTAATACTTATCCCAGGTGAGTATTTTATGTAGTTATATAAAACAGTACATAAAGTCATATTTTAATACATGTTTTTAAAGAACAGTTGGACATATTATTTCAATAGTGGGTGACTTAGAAGGATGCCATGGGCCTCAGGTTCTCTCTTTCATGTTATGTGTGTACATATTTTGACACTCCATGTAACAGTTAGAAAGGAATAAAACAACACATCCTTCAGGAATAAAGGAATACATCCTTCAGGAGTTAAGAGGCAGAACTCAAACTTTTAATTTAACTTAAAAGCTACTAAGATATTCAACTGAGAAAATATTCCCACAGGGGTGGGTGTGTGTGTGTGTGTGTGTGTGCGCGTGTATGTATATATATATATATATATGTGTATATATATATATATATATGTATATATATATGTATATATATATATATATATGTATATATACATATATATATATATATATTAGTCCCGCTCTCTCTCTATAGATATATGTATACATACAAACACACACGTATATAAATAACCATCAAAGTATGTTTGTGTGAATTTTTTTCCTTTTTTTAAAAGATCTTATTTATGGGGAGGGGCAGATTGAGAGGAAGAAGCAGACTCCCCATTGAACTGGGAGCCTGATGTGGGGCTCAATACCAGGACCCCAGGATCATGACCTGAGCCAAAGGCAGACACCTAACCAACTGAGCCACCCAGAAGCCCTATTCATGTGAATTAAACAAAAAACGAATGTTGAGATCTTGAACTATAACTCAAAACGTATCCAACTATAGGGACAAAGAAAATATATTAGACATTAATATTAAATATACATACTTTAAAATACAGTGTGTCTTCTTTTAACAGAATTATTAGAGCCCAGTTATAAATGCCCCCAATGATTCCTTTAATGAGAGATCAAATGTGCTTCTTGCCTTTTAGCAGTCAGTAGCATGGGGCAAAGGTGATTTTCACAAATCATCACAACACACGTCTCTTCAACAGAATCATCCCCTCATCATCTCTAACACACGCTTGTCATTGCTCACGTGCCCTGGACCATCTCAAAGAGGCCCTTACCATCTATTGTCAGGTTCATGCCACCAAACACCAGAGGTCCAATAAATTGAGCCTTGATATCACCTTCAAGGTACACAAATATTGTAGGCAGATTCCTATCAGGATAATTGGGTATGCAGGTTGTTGAAATGGCTTTAATAAATTTGACATCAGGAAACTTCCTGGCAAGTCCACTGAAGTGCTGATTTATGAGGGCACAGAGGGGAATGCTGTAAAACAGAAATGGGAAACAATGGTGAGAGAGGAACTTGTATAAATGCAGAATCAAACAGAAGCAACTGTGATTCTGCATTTATACAAGGCAATGCTCAACTACCCTTCTACCTCAGTAAACCCTCATAATAGCTTCACAAGTGATTCTGCTATTCCAGCCAGGATGAATTAACATCTTTTAAAAAAAAACTTTCTACGGGCGCCTGGGTGGCTCAGTTGGTTAAGCAACTGCCTTCGGCTCAGGTCATGATCCTGGAGTCCTGGGATCGAGTCCCACATCAGGCTCCTTGCTCGGCGGGGAGTCTGCTTCTCCTGCTGACCTCTCTACTCTCATGCTCTCTCTCTCTCTCAAATAAATAAATAAAATCTTTAAAAAAAAAAAACAACTTTCTAATATACTCAGGGAAAATGAAGAATTCAAAATCCAAAATCCAATCTAACTTGACTCAATAAGTCAGAAAAACAGCTTCAATGTAAAAGAGAATTGTTTTGCCCATCTATATGAGAGAATATTCAAGATTCAAAAGGTGTGAAAAAGGTCAGAAAGCACTTCCTGCTCTAAAAAAACTTCTACAAAAAATAAAAATAAAAAAACTTCTACACAAGTAGCTGAGAAGCAGTGAAGGGCCACTGCATCAAGGACTACAAAGGTCACCCCCGACATCTAGGAGAATGATTCACTACATGGAATTTTGAAATGCCAGAGTTTCTCTAGAAGGATAAATAAGGAATTCTTTTTCAGTAAAAGCGATCTCCGTTGCTCCAATATAACAAAGGCATTCTTTTTAGTCACAACTATTCATTTGAAAGCCTGAAGACAAAAATTGGGCATTAGGTTTGGGCAAATCAGTAAAAAAGCACATCACTAGTAAAAAACAAAACAACACAAAACAACAAACTTCCAATGTGGATTAAGCCCAAGACGTCCAAGACATAAACTCAAATTAACACTTAAGGACAGTGCGTAAGATCAGCTCACCCTTGTTTATACAGGTGCAAGATTACCCACAAGCCGTCGCCAGCCTTGGTAACTTCTTGAACATAATCTTTTCCTGAGATCTCCAAGACTTCTCCAAATTTATTCTTCAGTTGAGTTGCTTTCCACTCAGCCAGTCTTTGCTGCCTGCACAGCACAAAGGGGAGAGAAACCTCTTACATGTACACCCCATACATACACACACGCCTTTCAGACAGCAACCTTTATAAATATCCAGGTTTGTTTACTTGGCATGTGGCAAAAGTCTAAGATGATTCACCAAGATCTGCAATATTACTACTTAATTATAGCGCTTTCCGATAGTTATCTAGGTCAGAAAATTAACTTTTCAAAAGACACACATTTTAGTGCCACACGAAAAACCAAAGAGTCGCTCTGCAGGGCACTAACCTGTACATTTCAATAGCACGTTCATCTTCCTCATTAAATTCATCTTCATTATCCTCCAGCTCTTCCAAAGTCATATCTTCATATGTTTTCACTGAATGTGGTTAAGTTAGCAAAAACCAAAAAACGTAAAAGATGAACAAACTTGCATTTTGTTTTCCCTCCTTTATTTTTCTCCTAAAGATGTGCATGCAACACCAAGCCAAAATAAAACTCATCCGCCAAAACCAAAATAAAAAATACTGAAGGTCTTACACTAGTAAGAAAGAACTTGAGGGTATTTTAAAAAGATGAAACCATGTTGACCAAATGCAGCAAGACTGACCCTCCCAGTGCCATACATATTAAGGATATGAATGAGAAGTTTCCCAAGTTTATAAAACAAGAGTTGTATTTGCCCGAACTCACCTGGTTTGCTCTTCAAGCACATACACCATGGACTGCTGTAGTAACAGTTCTATCTCTAAGGACAGGGGTGTCCCCAACAGACCCCTCCTAGGGTTACAAGGATTATTGTCTTGGGTGTTCTCCTATGAGAGGTAGACAGCTCTTTTCTTTTAACCAACAGCTATAAAATCTCGACTTGGTTTATATTGCCATAAGTATTCTTGTTTCTTGACGTCAAATCAGATTTTTGCCTCCCAACCCCAATTCTATCACTATACAAACTGCTCTTTGCAAGGTCAACAATGACCTCCACTTCCTAACCGATGAGCAGCACTGATCCAACCTACCACTGCCTCCTCTTTGAAAGATGGTCCTCCTCTGGCTTCCAGGATAGGATGCCTTCTCTCTTCCTACCTCTATGGCTGCTCCTCCTTTGGACCTTTGCTGATTTGGCTCCTCTTTTATCCTTTTGCCTCCTTTTTTTAAATCTATGCCCACTCCTTTGGTGATAGCATCTCATGCAATCTTTACGCCTCCAGCCCATATTTCTCTTATTTAGAGAAAAACATAGCCAACTGCCTACTTGCCATGTCTACTTGACTAATAAGAATTTCAGTGTTTCTATCTCCCAAATAGAGTGCCTGATCCTAGCTCCAAACTGCTGCTCACCAAGCCTTCATCATCCCGGCTGGTGGTGATGCATTCCCTTCAGGCTGCTCAAGCCCAAAGCCTGACAGGCATCCTTCACTTACTTTTTCTCACACCCCTCACAGGATCCACCAGCAAATCCTGTGGTCCTACCTTCATATTATTTCCAGATCTGACCACTTCTCACCCCTTCCACCAACCCCATGCAGGCTGGCTAAGCCAGTGGTAGTTCTTGCCTGAATTACTGCAGCAGTTTCCAAACTAATCTCCCTACTTCCTGACTTGTTCCCCATCTTCCATACTTGGAAAGGGAGGGTGCTGTCAACATGTCAATCCTCTGTTCAAACCTCCAGTGACTTCCACCTGACTAGACATAAAAGCCAAAGTCTGTTAAAGAAACAAGGTTCTCAGTGGTTTGACCCTTAGTTGCCTCTCTGAACTTACTGTTCCTTCCTAGTCATACTGGCTTCCTGGCTGGTTCTCCAACACGCTCTTCACTCACTTAATTAGCTCAGTTCAACTCCCTCACATCTACTCAAATGTCATTCCTAGTGAGGCTCTCTCTGACTCTCAAATTATACTCACCCTTCCTCCACCCTTTCCAGGCCATTTCCCTGCCTTATTTTCCCATATTTACTTATGTATTGTTTATTGCTTGTCTCTCTCACTAGAATATAAGTCCCATAAGGACAGGGATTTTTGTCTGGCCTATACACAGCTAAAGCCCCAAAGCTTAGCATAACAACTGACAGATAGTCATCTTTCAATCAACATTCACTGCATAAATGCTTTCTAGTGAACCCATCTCTAAATTAGCTCTAACATGTAGGAAGACATAAGTACTTGTCCCTGTGATCAATGGGGCATTAAGTCAAGACTCAGAAATATTTTCTTCAGGATAATCATGTGCTCATCTGACACAGACAAAAAATTGTGGAAATTCTACAGTCCAGGAAGTTGAAGGTTAGAGACAGCCTGTGACTCCCTTGAAGTCCCAGAAATAGTGTCCATCCCAGCACTCCAGTCCCTGTTCCCAATTCCTGCTCAGAGCATCCTTCTACCAAAGCAGTTAGAGGCTTAGAAAGTTGTTTCTTAACCCAAAGAGAAACAACCCTTAAAGAATATAAGCAATCTTACCAATTGACTGCTGAAGGACTCGCTGTTCTTCTTCTTCCGCCTCCTTTTCCAAATCTTTCAAACTTTCCTTTGAGGGCAAGATGCCCTTTTTGCGTAAGATATCATTCCACTCAGTATCTGCATTGGGGTCCTAGTGGAAGTAGACCAAGAATACTTTGAGTGCCAAGTCCACTATGAAGGGTGCCATGTTGGGGAAAGGGTTGAATGGGAAAGGTGGTAGGCAGAGGAAGAATGCAAACCAAATTATTCTGTGGCCTATTTCTGAGAAAGCGTCAAAAGATCCACAGCCCCTATTCCTTTCCTGTTCTCCACTCCACATCACCCTCCCCACACTGGACACACACCCAAGAACTAGTCTTGGGTAAAAATCGGGATATAATGTGCAAATCGGCATCAATGCTCACAGCAAGGCTCTAATCTGGCTTCTATTCGATATGTTTATGAATGACTCAGATTCGTAAGTACTTAGCATCAATAGATGCTAAGTACTCATGGCAAGTGCAATGTTCAACAGGCTGCTGACCTACAGAGTTACAAGGGGTCTTCATTCCAAGGATAGGCAGGGATATTCTCTCAGAAGTGGACATTTTATCACCACTGAAAGCCGAGTAGGAACCAGATGTGAGGAATGAGAACTTAAGAAATTACTTTCAAGGCAAAGTGACTAGCAAGTACAAAGGGCCCAAGAGCAGAGATACCAGGAGTATCTCGAAGTTCTAAGTGGCTGCAGTACAATCAGAAGGAGAGCCTGAAGCTAGCCTGACAAATTCTCTAATGGTCCAAACCTGAGAAGGAGAACTGAGACCCCATGGGACAGCTCTCAACGTCTAACACGTACTGAATACTGGACGCTGGGCACTCTTTGAAGCCCTATACCTGTACCTACCTAGTTAAACCTCACAACCAAGGAGAGACTTGACATTTATGAAGACAGTGCCATCCTAGAACAAGTCAAATTTACCAGGATCAAATGTCAGAAGGATAAATGTCAAAGTGGGCTCTCGCTCCCAAAGCCAGCTAGCCAAACACTGGTTTTGCATGGCTTGGCAGGAACCCTGCTAATGGACCTGGTTTGGAATAAGAAATCAAGGAGCCCTGTGGAAAGGGCACTAGGACAGCCAGGCTCCAGCCCGAACTCCATGTCACTGTCTTGCTGAGATATATCAAAAGAAAATGAACAGAATCCTTTCAACAGGGTGCTCAGGGAAGACTCTGCAGAGATGACATTTCAAAGCAGGGTCCTGAAGGATAGAGAATACAAAGGAGGCCAGGGCAGCCCTGGGGCTTCCTCTTCACCATTTAAGAGTGTCTAGCTTCTGGCAGACACACTGTATTTGTAGATGCTTATCCTCTCCAGCTGCCAATGCCTAATACTCCAAGCAAAGGTCCACTAACTCCATTTCTCATCCGCCACTTAGCCAGAGACGATTTAATCAGAATTCTGGACTACAGTGAGGTCTGGAAAGCAGCAGAATGACTTTGACAGAGGGTCCTCTGACAATGACAGAATTTAGCAGTCACAAATTTTTGTTAATTCCCATGATGTCTTCATTTTCTTTCACTTTTAGTCCAATTCCATTAGAAAATTCCTGATACCAAATAAGGGGGACAGGGGCGCCTGGGTGGCTCAGTGGGTTAAAGCCTCTGCCTTTGGCTCAGGTCATGATCCCAGAGTCCTGGGATCGAGCCCCGCCTTGGGCTCTCTGCTTAGCAGGGAGCCTGCTTCCTCCTCTCTCTCGCTCTCTCTGCCTGCCTCTCTGCCTACTTGTGATCTCTGTCAAATAAATAAAATCTTTTTTAAAAAGGGGGGGGGAACGAAACTAGGGGATTTGGTTTTACCTATTTTAAGACAGAAATTAAGGAGAGGGACCGTAGGGATGAGCTTTGGGAGCCGCAGAATCGGAGACGGAGTGCACCTCTACCTGAACATCAATGTTGGGGGTTAAAGCATGCAACCAAACCCTCAGCCAGCTCTAAGTGTAGACAAGAACACAGGTTCCGCCACTGTTCTACGTTATGGCACGTCCACGCGGGACCCTTCCCTTCTTCGAGCCTCAGCTTCCATAGCCACAACGTGCCGATAACACACCTGCCCAAGAGCTAAGATAATTAAGGAACAGGAAGTAACTCTGTCAGGTGGGATGCTGCGAGTCCTTCACAGACTTCACGGGATCCGACCTTAAGGACAAGTGGCCGCCAAAGACAGATTTGCGGGAGAGACACACAGCGGTGGGGAGACCCAGCCCGCAGGTCCTGGCCGGACCACGCCCGCCCTCTCGCACGGCGCCTGCGCTGGGCCTAGACTCGCGTGGTATTTCGCGTGCCGGTGGCGCCCGGCGCTTAGCACAGTCCCAGCCCAGACGGTCCGTCGCTGCCACAGACCCAGCGGTGCAAACGAGCTGCGGTGTACTCCAGGGCTCCGACCCCCAGGTTCTTTACCTGCATCTTGTCTAAAATCGCTCAACCCAGGCCTCAGCAGCGACCCCGCCCCTCAGCTCTCTTCCGCGCACGCGCGGAGCCGTCACCCCGCCTCTTCTCCCAGCCCGGCCTTCGCCCCGCCCTCTTAGAGTGAGCAGGGCGGAACCAGGGAGTAAGTGAGGCCGCTGAACCTGTGCCCACTCCCCAAGAAAACCGGCAGAAGCTGTGCGCATGCGCAATGGGGTGCCTCCTGGGTTGGTGTCGCTGGCTTCACGTGACCCGGAGCCAATTCTCGGTACTACCTTATTAGGGCAAGTCTCCGTGATTGGAAAGGTGGAACTGGATGGAGGACGCCCTCGGCCCCGTGGGCCGTGTCCTGCCGCAGACGCATTCCTAGTAAAACAGGGCCTGGCTCAAGAAGTCACAAAAAGAAATGTGTTTCAGTGATCCAGTGTTATAATTAAAAATGATGCAGGGTCATCATTTACTCGCTATCATTTCAGCGTCTGATAATTCATAAGACATATTCATTAAAAGCCTACTATGTGCCAGACACTATTCTAGGTTCTGCGGATACAGCCGTGATCACAATAGAAAAAACAGAAAGTGAAAGTCATTCCATCTGGTTAAGCCTCAGGGAGTCCAAATTTGCAGAAGTGCTTAGTCCTATCGAGGCACACAGGAGGCTTGAGTAAAAATCAGCAGAATCTGAATTGTAAAATGCAGGAGCTGGGCTCCAGGCTTCTGCCTACACAGCACTCCAGTTTGAATTAAGAAAGCGATACCCCTCCAGGGACACCTGGGCTAACTTGCTTCCTCTCAGCAGTGAAGCAGACATAGATAATAGCACATCCAAACGCCTGTGGCGTAGGCGTGCGGCTCTCAACTTTGGTCAAGCATTACAACCACCTGGGAACCTTCAAACACTGCAGATATGCTGAAGCTCCAACCCCAGTCAAATTAAACTCCTGGAGATGAAACCTGGAATTGGTATTTTCGTAAAGATTCCCAGGTGTCGCTAAAATGCAAAACCATGGATAGTGAATAAAATGATTCCTTGAGGGCAAGGAGCTTTGATTTTATAATTTATAAGGATTCTTAATATTTACCTAATTACCACAGAATTATGGTCTCCAGAAGCATCTATTTATTCATTTATCTGCAGCAAACTGTGAATGAATTGTCCCTGGTCTTACTACCAAAATCAGGACCCAGGCTAGTTCCTGGTGAGTTTGGTTCTATGCGAAGCTTGGCCTCCCCTCCAGAGCTGTAGAGTGGGTGCTACATCCTTTCTTCATTCCCAGCCCTAGTTATTTCCTGATCCCTCTCTCCCGAGAGTGACAAGCCAAAGTCTCAAACTCTACCACCTCCTCTGCAGAAATGTGCCTCTCCCACTTTTGTCAAAGACTCTTCCATTACTCTAAATCACAATCTCTCCCGACTCCCTAAAGACCTCTTTGTCCATTATTCCATCCATCACTCTTGGATCTGGAGAAAATAATTAGGGCTCAAGGGAAAAAAAAAAAAAAAAACAGAGCCATAAGAATTGGAAAAGAAAAGAATTGGAAAATAATTTGGTTTGTAGGTCATATGACATGATAGCATACTTGGAAAACCTGATAGAATCAAGTCTTAAATTCATACTATAGTATGAGAGTTCTATATAGGATCAGGATATAAAATTAACCTACAAAAAATAGCCTTTGTATTTACAATAACAAACTAGAAGATAGAGACACTAATTACAATAACAACAGAAAAGAAAAGAGCACTCAGGAATAAACTTAAAGAGTTTACAAAAACCTACATGGAAAAAAAAAAAAACCTGCATGGAGAATATTATAAGACATCTCTGAAAATACGAAAGTAGACTTGAACAAATGTAAGAAATCCCCCCTCTTCAGATTGGATGACTCAATATCACAGAGATGTCAATTTTCTCCAAGTTCATGTGTAAAATTTAACACAATCTTAATCTTAAAACCCCAATATTTTCTGAGGCTAGACAGGTTGATTCTCAAGTTTTTATGATGAAATAAACAACAAGAATGGCAGACTGAGGGAACAGCCAGCCTCTACCAGATATTAAAACAATGTGCTATCGGTACGTGAACTGACAAATAGATCAATGGAGCAACATGTTCAGAATCAATCTACAAATAGAGCAAGCATGTACAAATATTAGTGTATGCTGACATCTTAGTCTGCTGGGGGAAGGGATAGAGTTTTTAATACATGGTATTGAGGCAATTGGACAGTCATTTGAAAACAGATAAAATTGGATATGTACTTCATGGTGTATATCATTTTAAGAATTGAAAACTAAAAGTGCTAGAGAAAATAATGAGACAATTTCTTTATAACCTGAAAGTGTGAAAAACCTTTGATGACAATTAGTAAAAATCCTGAAAATCAGGTGAAAATATGACAGATTTGCAACTTTAAAAAATTGTAAGAAATAATGAACACCAACACACCACCTTTGGTGTAAAATAAAAGATTAAATAAGAATACATATGGGAGGGACGCCTGGGTGGCTCAGTGGGTTAAAACCTCTGCCTTCAGCTCAGGTCATGATCCCAGGGTCCTGAGATTGAACCCCACACGTAGGAAAGCCTGCTTCTACTTCTCCCACTCCCCTGCTTGTGTTCTCCCTCTCACTGAGTCTCTCTTTGCCAAATAAATAAATAAAATCTTAAAAATAAAACCATACACACACATTTGGGGGCACCTGGGTGGCTTAGTCAATTAAGCATCTGACTCTTGATTTTCACTCAGGTTGTGATCTCAGGGTTGTGAGATGGAGCCCCACATTGGGCTCCATGCTGAGCGTTGAGTCTGCTTAAGATTCTCTCTCCTTCTCCCCCTGCCCCCTTGCTCATGCTCTCTCTCTTAAAAAAAAAAAAAAAGAATACATATGTGTATATATTCGTATTTGCTTAATTTTGCAAAAAAGAATCACAGAAAGAGGAAATCAGAAATTAATGAAATGGCTAACTGTGGCAGCGAGGCGGGGTCAGGGTAGAGATGAGGTGGTAGCAACAGAAAATTAGGAGTAAGAATGCTCAAATAAACTTTTATTTAGGGCCAAGCAAGTTTTATAGAGCCTGAAACACTTTCAGTCTTTGAGGATCTCTTTAAGAATCTATCATTTATATGATGAATCTAAAAAAACAAGAACAAAAGTTCATAGAAAAAGATAAACAATCTTTTCTATAAGGAGAAAAGTTTTTTCCTTTATTCTTTTTTTTCTTGTATCTGTATGAGAAGATGGACATTAGTTAAATCTATTATGGTAATCACTTCACACATATGTAAATCAAACCATCATGTTTTATGCCTTTAATTTATGCAGTAATGTATGTCAATTATTTTCAATAAAACTAGAAAAACTATAGGAGAAAAAAAGAGTGTAAAGGGGTGCTGAGACCCCATTTGAAAGATTTTGAAAATGTTTCATTAGGGATTAAATGAGATTGTCTCCTAGAATAATGCCTACACAGAATAGGCATTCAAAAAATGTTTTCTGAAAGGACATTGACTGTGATATGGCAAGAAAGAACAGTAAGTTTATTATGTTATCTTTCCTGTTCTTTTAATTTGTTAATACAATATAAAAGTAACACAATATAATAAATAAAAATATACAAAAAAGGAAGAAATAAAGTATAATTTATGTGTTGAGTAGAGATTGGCCTATATAAATATTATGATGATGTTTGACCAAATAAAAACAGAAAGTTTAAAAAAAATAAGAAATTATGAATATAAAAGTGGGCATAAAGGAGACATTTATTTAGAATAGAGAAACAGTAACAAATTACCAATTTTAAAAAGCTGACAAATACCATAAACATCATAAATCCAGAGAAATAACATAATATTTCTATTAATTAACTCTGACCCATCTATCTGATATCATAGATTAACTTCTGGCATGTGTATATTGTTGGGGAAAGAAATCTCCTTCTCTACCCCACTTCCCAGTGTTATTCTCCCTAGTTTAAGAATTAAATTGACATGAGACAGATTAACAGAACAAAAATCAAAGTTGTATTAAGTGCTCAGGAAGCCTCAATATTGAAATTGGGACCTGAAGAAATGACCAATGTCCCTGCCCTCCTTGGAAATGATTGCCAGTTTTTATACATTTTGGACCAATAGATAGTAAATTTTATAAATTTTATACATTTTACATATTTTTATACATTTGGACCAACAGATAGTAAATTTGTAAGAAATTGACAGGACAAAACAGATTTTGGGGAGTTTTCACTAGTAAGGAATTCTAAGCAGAATTGGGGCTGAGATAGAATAAAAAGTAGCAAGGCTGGGACACCTGGATGGCTCAGTCAGTTAAGCATCCAACTCAGTTGATGATCTCAGGGTCATGAGATCCAGCCCTGCATGGAGCCCAGCACTAGTGTCCATGCTCAGCAGAGTCTGCTTGAGATTCTCTCCCTCTGCCCCTCCCACTGCTTGAGCTCTCTCTCTCTCAAACAAATAAGTAAATAAATAATCTTTTAAAAATGTAACAGGTTTATTCCCACAGTTTTCTCAGCTTTAAAGTCCCTATCTCTGGTGATAAGGATGTCATCTTACTTCTCAGCGTAAGAAGGTTATTTTTCATATGGGAGATTTATTTCCTGTTCTCGAGGGTATAAAAGAGGTCTGAGTGTTCTTGTACTGCCTGTTTCCTTAGTAACTTTTACTGAAAATAATCAATATGCCAAAGGGGCTCATTTGGGTACAACCTGCCCTTAGCCCCTACAATATTAAGCCCTGCCTCTACCAGAACTAACTAAATACCTCATTCAAAGATAGTCTCCATAGGGCTGCCTGGGTGGCTTAGTCTGTTGAGCATCTGCTTTTGACTCAGGCCATGATCCCAGGGTCCTGGGATCGAGCCCTGCTTCTCCTTCTCTCTCTGCCAGCCACTTCCCCACTTGTGTGCACTCTCTCTCTGTCAGATAAATAAATAAAATCCTAAAGAAAAAGAAAGACTCCATATATTACATTTATATCACATTTTATGTCACATGATGTTCACTAGCCCTGCAACTTCATGTCACATCCCTGGGTAAGAGGCCAGTATTCCTGGAAGTCATTTGTCTGCTGAATGGCCAGCAGTAACTATGGGTGAAA